ACTTCAATTAATGTATGAAATGAAAGGGGTTGGTGAAGGGTTTTGATTACCTATTTCGATAATACTACGTAAAAGCAACTTTGTGCTCCATTCAAATAGAATGGATTTGTTTTTATTATGTTTGGATACTCATCCTGCTCACAATGAATGTTATTCTGGTATTCATTAAAATGGTCTCGTTTCAACAATGTTTGTTGTGCATTACTAAAAGTACTACACCTAACTTAAGAATGGGTTTTAGCAACGAGATCGTTTTCGAAGTGCCATTAAAAAATCTCAAAATACTAATGTCGCAGTTGCCTTAATAAAGTTACATACAATTTAAATTTCTGCTAGCTGGAAAATATGTAATGATAATACTGTTATAAGTATAAATCTAAGTACTTTTCTAGTAACGTAAATACCAAATTGGAAAATATATGATACATTAAATAATACATTATTTTGTTACGCGTAACACTGAAAAAAAAAGACGTCGTTTGGTCCAAAATACAGCTTTAGCACACGTCTGTTATATTCAGTAAACAAAAGCATGTTTCAATTGGAAAAAGTATTCAACCCCTAACAATAAAAAATAGACATAATACTACGAACAGGCTTACTGCCTATTTGAAAAACATCCCCCTTTCATTTTATTTTATTTCTCGATTCGAAAGCTCAAAGAAACGATGTGCGTATTAAAATTTGCAATGACGTGTGTCAATTAGTCCGCCATACTTTGATTCATTGTTGGTAACTGGACATACGAGGGTGAATTTGGGGATTAATGAAGTACGTATATAATATGTATGTAACACATGTTATACAGGGTGTTCCTGGTAGAATGTATTGAATGGAACAGGGTCATAGAGAGGATAATTTCCTATCCTTTGTTCTGGGAATAGGGGTTTGATTCTGAATGGTCCAAAAGTTAGACTAGTTTTCGGCTTGTTCATGTTTTCCCAATGTACTCAAAATACCAATCACAAAGAAAAGGATAATATCGGATGATATCAGAGGTATAAAAAACGTTTCAAATGTAAAGTAGGTAGATAGTTAGGTATATATTTATTCCACTGAAACTAACGTCACAGTACTCACAGTAGTGCGTAAATTAATAATGACCAATGCCTGTAAACTGAAATTAAATATAGGTAGTAGCTGAACGAAACAACATTTTAAAATCAAGTAAGTTGCTGGTTTATGGAGTACTCTTAAAATCTCTAACTCCTTAACTATTGAGGATATTCTCGTAATTCATACCTCCGAATAATCTGTTTGTATGGTGAAAGTTTTTCTGATACATGACTTCATACTTCCAGGGACACCTTGTATACTGCGAAATTTCTGCCTATGTGTTTGTTACGTAAATCTATAGCTTGCATCCCTTAGGGTTGCTGTTGGGTATTCATGTTACGCAAAAACCCACATACACTCACACAGACACACATACTCACACAGACACATACACAACAGACACATACTCTCACACGCACACATACAGACACGAGCACACGGAGCGTGCACACAGCTCCATTGCCAATCAATGAACCTCACCCATCAGGCTTGAGGGTGTTTTGTAAAACTAAAGGTACACGATGATTTATGCAATATTATTTTTCATTATTGTTTTATGTTTATTTACCTGTTTAATTTATCTATAATCTTTTTCATAACGACCGCTTGATCATTATCTGCCATACCAATTAAAATATTTAATTTACCATAAAAGTACTAGGTTGACGTTAATATCGCTGCGTACTTAATGGTGAAATTACTTTTCATATGTCCAAATACTCAAACACCACTCAATTAAGTCGCGCTTAAGTATTGTTCTGTCACTACAAATTCTTTGTAAAATGACAGAGATGGCACGATATTTTAATACAACTTAAAATTGAGTAGCCTTTCAGTATTCGGGCATTAGAATTTTGACCATTAAGTAATGACGCGGCTCGATTTCTAGGATATCAACGTATATTTGTCTACATGGTACAAATATATTTTGTGTTGCTACAGGCTTCATACTGACCCCTCAACAAAGCATTTATAGAGCTCATCTGTGCGTCTGTCCTTCGCCCTAAGTGAACAGAGGGCTGCATAAAATGAAATTCCATCTAATTGTTAGTACTTCTGTCGGATCATGCACGTGTACCTTCATTATTAAGTTTCCCGACCCTCAATCTGGATGTTTTTGAATCCATATGTATGCATATGATTTGCACATGACTGAATCAAATAATTAAAAAGCGAGTTGGGGATCCAACTCTTTATTTATACGCGAGTGTATGTAGTAAAATCAAACAAATCGGTACATCTGTACATCATTCAATAACGAAACACATTTCTAAAATCTTTTCTCATTTTGTGTATTGACATTTCAAAACGTCTTATCGATGCCACTTACGGATGTCACATGTCACATTGTCAAGGTCGAAGTCCTTCGTGGTTGTCTCTAACGTCATATTGTTTTCTCAGACGAAGACGTGCTATAGTTACTTTCTATTGTTTTAAAAACATCTGTTTGATTAACAAAACATATTTGTTTTGGAACGTTCTTTGAAGGGATAATTTAGATTCATCGTCTCTTAATTCTTAGTGCATTTCAAATGAACAAATGTCATTTTCCAGAAGTTGTATCGGGTCTATTTTTATTTAAGCCGTCGCGTCGTTTGGTATTAATTTCATACATTTTCTTACGAATTTGGCTCATGTCTATGAAATGTTTTGTGGTATTATAATAATTCATATGTTTAAATTAATCCTAGTAAAAATATTTATGGAATAATGTAACGAAGTAATGAAATTCATAAATGTCGTGAAAAGCTACCTAAGTTCAGTACACGTTATTATTAGATTCGGTGTTCATTTCCCAAGAAAATAAGTAACTCAAAAACGAGTACCGGGAGTAATTTGTTATTTTTTGTCGCAATAAAAAGAGCGACGACAAGCAGTTTTGTTAAACATTGTAAGTACGCTTGCGGCTGATGTTTTCTCTTGTACCCAATATTTAGACTGAAAAGAAGTTTTAAATACTTGGAAGGTGGGTTGTTTTGTAAACATTATCATTGGTTGAAGCCATCTGTTAGTAACTGTATTGTGTCTAGTACCTTGGTCGGTATAAGTACGTATGTAATGGACTAATGGTGCTATCATACATTTATTAATCGTCAGAATCGTCTTAATTATCTAGATATTTGCTGCTTTTGTGTTGCATTTAAATCTTACAAATATTGTAAATGTGAAAATGTTTTTGAGTTTATAAGAATGTTTGTTTTACACTCAATCACATCAAAACCCCTGAAGGGATCGTGATGAAATTTAAAACAAATGTAAATTATGGTTTGGAATAACACATATGCTACTTTTTATCCAACGAGAACACCGGCAAAGCCATTGGCAAGCAAAAGCTAGTATAAGAATAAATTTATGTAGTTCTTTTTATATTGGCGAGTGCGACTTCATTAATTTCGTTTTTCTTTTAAGTTACCAATTAAAGCTTTGCTTTTGCGCGTATTTTATAATGATTTGTTTTATGTCTTTGATATGTCATCAAGTGCTAGTCTATATGAAGTAATTTGTTTGTTCTCTTCCTATTTTCTTTGTAAGTTTACAAAATGCAATAATTCCTCACATTTAAAGCGAGTGTATTAATATTATGTTTTAAATTGCTTTAAGTATTACCTCTATAGTGCGACAGTTACCATTGTGCTACAACAAAATAAATCTGTTGTGATTTGTATTTGCACCAGTAATGGAATACCTACTATTCAATAAATTAATTCACGGATGTTGTATACTATGAGAGCCTAGCTCTAACCATTTTAAAAATCTCATTACGTATGTCAGTTACTTGTGGCCTGTCACTAAGGACGGTGGGAGGAAGCATACAAAAGGTTTATTATTGTAGCTATGTGTCGCGGAGAACCTAACGGGTAACCGGGGCTCCGGCTCGACGTGCAGGTGAAGGAACGGGGTGGTTTTTAGTCAGTAAGAGTCTGACACTCCCTTCCGCCTCACCCAGGCGGGAGCAGTCATTCGATGATTTTCCCCCCTTAAAAAAAAAAAATTGTAGCTATGTGGATGGTGTATAATTAAGCGTTTATTTAAAAACTAGCTGCTCTCTATTCTTCGTTGCTTGATGTTTTATAGCCTAGCCTTCCTCCATATGCATTTACCTATTTAAGGATGTTTCAAATCGAACCTCTTCAGTTTTATATATTTAGTATTGCATTACACATATTTATTCGGTAGTTGTACGCATAATTTACTCTGCATTAACTCTGACCGTACATAACGTCCATATAGCTAGTTACAATTGCAACCCTTTGTTAGGGTATGGTTTATTCTCGTCAGTACATACCAGTTAATTCATCATACATCAAAGCCCTTGCTAATCCCAAATTGCATTGTCATATAGGATATGAAAGGGTGACGCCGTGACGCGTGTTTCAGGGGTAGACAAAGGGTGGGCAGTAGGCAGTGAGCAGCTTCATATTCGAGCCCAGCATGTATGCACATGACAATGACAAACCAGTAGATTACATTCACCATAGTTACGGTGATTGCTTGCGTGATTATTATGTGATGATGCGATGGCAATCTGTGCTTTATACATTATTTATTTCCGCGTTTTTGATTTTTTCATCCATCATTACAGATGTTATTAAAAGTCTAAAGCGATGGTGTAGCCCATGCCAATGCCCATATTAATATTTGTCTGTCACATCATTTTTAAGTTGTAACAAAAGACAATTTTTTTCTTTTTTAATTTTTGGAAGGGTATACATATAAACACGTGCCCATATAGGTCATTCTTACATTCATGTTGTTGATTTCGTTGTGAAGATTATTTGAGATGTCGGTATTAAGGCTATAACCATCTAAACCAAACAGTTAGTAAACTGGGATCGATAAAATATCAGTTCTTTATTCACTGACCAGCCTGGGACTCGTCTAAATGTTTAAGATACCTTATCGAATAATAATAATAAATGTTCCATTTTTGTATTGTTTATTAGGAGGGAGTGACAGGAGAATGGCGAGGTGCCTGGGTGATGCTCATCCGACGTGTGATGGTCTACTACACCACAAAGGAGCCCACTGTGCGTACCGTTGACCTCAGGAAAACCAGATGTGTTGGTAAGTTCACAGCTCACTTAATTGGTACATTATTAGTATTATTACCTACATACGGTTCACTTTATTTAGTGCGTTGCAATGCTAAATGAAATAGAATATTGCCTCATTGGTTAATTAGACGGAAATGCGACTGCTAAGCGATTCCTATACCCGGTAAAATATAGTGTGTTCTTACACCAACCACCTCCTGCCATTTTGTAGGTTCAATGTAAATAATGTTACTGAAATTTTCGGTTTAGCAAGGAACCTAGGTATAATAATATCCGATGTAACCTAGAATTATACCTACTGGTGCAGAGAATAAATCAGCTGAAATTCTACAAGTAAATAGTTGGTTATTTACGCTCGTCGATTCATATGAATCACTACATTCATTAGGCACGGGCACGCAATACCGAGAAATCTCATACCTATGTACCTATCTCACACTATATTTATTCCGAAGTAACGAAGCTTTAAGTACCCGTATTATTAGATTCCTACATATCTATATCGATTTATTCCGTGTTACATACCTACGCTATTAGTGTTTCTCCAAAGAAGAAGTGATTCCTCCAAAAACATTTCTATGAGCGAATTTATTTTAATAGTATCATAGTCATACTTATTTTGAAATGAGTTCTTTTGTGGGACTGGTTTAATGGTGTGAGTGACCCGCCATCTTGGGATTATGATAATACAAAATTTGGTGTGTGTAATGCCAAGGACCAATCATGGGCTAGGGTAACCGATGTTTATTGTGTAAGGGTGCCGTGGACAAGGGTAAATACTATTTAGGGCGTCAAGTTGTGGGTAAACCGGATAGGATAACATTCGTGTTTTTTTAACCGGTTCCTAATAGGAGGAGCCGGGTCTGTCAAACTTTAGGCTCCTCCCAACAAGACACGCCCACCCTGGCGTACAAGAACGACCAATTTTTTTTTACAAATATTGCTTAACCGGTACTTACGACAATTAACTAAAGATGTGATATACGCACCACACACCCTCATAACTATTGAAGTCGTAGTTGGACTTAACTTTGCACATATTGTGATCTTTTCCTAATTAATTGCATATTAAACAATTTTGACAGATGCATATTTGACACTAATTTTAACATTAACCAGAGAAAAGGGAGCGGTTACAGTTATAGTTAAAGTTAGGTCGTCATTTAACTATTTGTCATAATTCGTGCAACATATGTTTGGCCTAAGCGATAAACAGAAATTTGCATGTTTGTCATTGTTAAAGTAAGTTGGTGCAACCTAAGTATTAGGAATGTTTACAATCTAAAAAGTGACATTTAGCTGCGTACTTGATCATTGTGAGAATAAATTAAAATACCATTTCAGACTGGTAAGTTTCACATGTCAAACTAGTTGTTATCTATGTACCCTATACATGGTGTAAAACTTTCTTAATACACCCTTTATACAGCTACAGACGCCAGCTGGAAAGCAGGCAAATCAATTTGTGATTTAAATTACAAAATAAGCCAAGACCATCACAACAGTTTGCTCGCTAACCTGACTTAATTTTAAAGTACTCAGATTTACTTTAAGCATAGATATCATAACATAATATCACGCCTTTTATCTCCGAAGGGGTAGGCAGAGGGCTACATTACGGCATTTAATGCCACTGTACAATGTAACGCTCACTTTTCAATATTTATGTTATGAGTCCCATGTAATAGGGGGTGAGCCTATTGCCATATGCCGGGCACAATTCCAGACTCCGTGCTACTACTGAGATTTTTTTTAAACCCAATAATACTTTGCCCGACCCGGGAATCGGATCCGAGATCCCTTGCCCGGCAATCGTATTTGCGACCACTCGGCCAACGAGGCAGTCATATGTATCATAATTTTAATATTTCTGTAACGTTATGGTATTATACTTTAAAGCGTCAAACGCTTGAATACTGAAAAGCTACTTAATTTTAAGTCTTGTATAGGTATACATAGTTCTGTCGCTACAAATTCTTCGTTAAATGACAGAGATGGCATGGTATTTAAGTACAACATAAAATTGAGTAGCCTTTGGGTATTCGGGCGTAAAACTCTTAAGTAAACGTTGTTTCACCAGAACTTCTTGTGCAATTTCAAAGGGAAATTGTTTGTAAACTACATCAGTTAAAAGTTACCGCCGCGACGTCACATACGGTTATTACATCAATTGTGTATTCTTTCTCTAAATAAACCCAAGTACCTACCTACTTCAACAGCTATTTTGAGTTGGCTTGCCCCCCTATTGAATTGAGATTGGTGTTATTATCGTGACATTTATTAACCATGCATTATCATCAAATTAAACAATTTAATAAAATAATTAGATAAATACGTAACGTTAATATAAGGCAACCTGTCATCAAAAGTAGGGGTCAAAGCTTTGAGAAATCATCAACATCATATCGAAAACTCGATCTCCATGTAATATTGTTATAACGTATACCTAAAAGGTTTATAACCCACTAGCTTTTACCCGCGGCTTCGCTTGCGTCACAAAAGCATAAAAGTAGCCTATGTGACATATACCAATACACACAGCGCCATCTATTCCAGTTCTTTTGTTTTCCCTCGGGAATATCAACATTTTCCGGGATAAAAAGTACCCTATTATTTATTCCGGACTTCTAACTTTTCGCCTGCAAAAATTCAAAGTAATCGGTTTAGAAGTTACGGCGTGAAAGCGGAACAAACAAACAAACAAACAAACTCACTTTCCCATTTATAATAGTATATATATATATAAGGAGGATAAGGATTGCTTTGCCCAGCGGTGGGAAAACTTTATTAAAGACGGACTAGTAGTTCAAAATATGTTGGAAACTCAGGTTAAATGTACCTACCTCAAACCACAACTCGAGTTGTCTTAAATCTACATTCCTAGGTAATAGATATATCAAGTTCACTCATTATGTGCTTGAACCAGGACACCTGTAACCATATTTAGGAAATGTATATAAGCAATTGTATGTCATAGATATTACACAGATAAGGCACGATATCATTTATCTAAATTCATTAGTTACGGCGTTTAATCTTAATACGGTCAGGTCAGGCCTAAATAAATTGTTGGAATGTCCAGTATTGGTATGTAGGCGTCACTATTTGTGTAACGAAGTTAATCGTCAATAAATACGTTGTGCCGCCGTCCCGGATGTTCCATAATTACGCTTTATTACCGCTGACACACACATGCATACTGTTCACTTCATTTGTGTTCCCTGAGATAAAAGAATTCAACAAAAGTTGAAGGTCATTGTTTTATGTTTCATAATCTCATAATTAAACGGAAACTTACGTTAAATATACAATATTGACAGCTATGCGTTATCGCTGTGTGATGATTGATAACTTCTCTGATAATATTCAGCTAACAAAACCATGCAGTCAATCAGTCTTTTGTTGTTAAATAATATTAGCTACATAATATTCTTTTTAGTATATTTCCAATAAACATGTTGGTAATTGGTACCTATTACCGTAACTGTATACCATCGAGGGCACTTGATCATAAAACTAAGTTTATATTTGTGTTACTAAATTGATATAATAATCGCATTCCCATTTCTGTAAGACATTGAATTTCATGGAAGTACTTACCTGAACAAGTACACAGGTGATAGACTTTCTATGATTTCATGTAGATACATTTGACGCGGCACGGTGCGGAAATAAATCCGTGTGAATTTTAGTTGTCTACTAACTTCTACCAGCGGTTTCGCCCGCGGTCCTGCGGGATTAAAAGTAGGCTAAGTATGCATTATTCTAGACCATAATGTAACCCTGTTTCAAAATTCATCCCGATCCCTTCAGCCATTTTAACGTGAAAGAGTAACAAACAGACAGACAAACATACATACAAACTTTCGCATTTATAATATTAAGAGGAAAGTAGGTTTAAAACTGCCTCGTTGGAATTGAATAAAATTTTAAACAAAATAAAACACGTTTACTCGACCGAAGATCTTTTTAATGCAAGATCTTAAATGCCGTTTTTGATTACTTTTCATCTGTTCCGAAGAAAAATCGTAACACTGTTATACTTTTCTTTTTGTCGAGCCTACTGTAGGCAATATTTATTTTTATACTTTACATCAAACACATCTGTTGCCTGCTTGAGCTAGTATTAAAAAAATAAAGTTATATTTATGTAATTCACAGTGACACAAGAGGCTGACGAGGACACCAAGTCAGTCTGCCCGACAGACGGTAGTCACAACTTACTACTCGACTGCCCACACGCCACACTTTACTTGCGGTTTCCACACGAGAGAGAACTGAAGGTAAGAGGACACAAAAATCTGTTTATAATTCAATCATCATTAACATCAGCCGAAAGACTTCCATTCTTAAAAGAACGCCCATATCTGGGTCACACAACTATCCCTTAAGTTTCACGTACAATTCAAATATTAAAAATACCTAATGAGTATAATCGCGCAATAACGATCGTTTTTTCTTTGTCAACGCGTTGCTTGTTGTACAATTAGGTAAGGCATGTCAAATTAAAAGTTAAAATGTATTTCTTACAAAAAATTAGGGTAATTAATTGATTTCTCAAAAAATGTTAAAAGACCTTCAACTGTTATTTATAAAACTTGAAATGTCTTCCTAGTGTTCCTTACATACACGTACTGGGGTCAGTAGCGCCATCTTGTTGCAGTGCATGCATTAGTGAACTTGTGAACCTAGACCTTCGCCGCGTTGCTAGATGCGTCAACAAACATTTCACGTGCTTGCACTACAGATGGCATTTCATTGAAAATGCAATATTATTTTTTTATTTATGAAAGTTAAAATACTAAGTCCTTTTCCTTGACTTATTATTTTCATAAAAATATTGGTGTAGTAATACGATTAATACATATTTAGTTCGATCTTGTAATACATATTAACTTTTAACTTGACAACATTGTACTACCTTCCATCTCGCTCATTTAACAAGCAAACTCGTATAATAGTAAGAGATGAACGATTGTTGAATTTGATACACGTCATTTTAGAACGTAAGCTAGTGTATATTGGTACGACTATCAGTCCTTATATTTTGTCGGTTCAACGTTGCATTGGATCAATAACGGGTGGGTGAGGGTGATATCAGTTCTACGTTTGAGGCAATATTTCACACTCACCGTGTTGTGATTATCTGTTTGTCTGAAAAGCGAAGTAAAGAAATATTTTCATTGTGAAGTAGTGTTATTAATCATGGATATCAATAATGGCCGAAAATCAAACGATAAGAAAGAAAACAAACCCTCTTCAAGCAAGTCCACTGAAGATAATAAGAACAGTATCGATCCAAAAAAACCACCCCGTAAAGGTACTCCGTCGAAAGTTACTTCGAAACGATACAATCCTAGGCGTGCATCTGTAAAAATGCCGGACTTGCATTCTGACAAAGGTGAGTCATTTGCGGGTGGCATCGTAGAATTTGAACCAGACATGCCAGATCTGGTGGAAGCCACTATTCCTGACGCCATTCATGAGGCACGAACGGTAAATGGCTTTCAAAATAGTGCTCAACCAGTCTATTCAAACCGGGTGGAAGTCAGACCATTTCTGCCTTTGCCAGAACCAATCATCTTGATTCCCGTGCACCCCGTGCACCCCGTGCATCCCGTGCATCCCGTGCATCCCGTACATCCTGTGCATCCCGTGCATCCCGTACATCCGGTCTACACGGGCGGCACGATCGAGGAGTATCAGCGGCGTTGGCGTGAGTGGTACTATCAAATGTACTTTCCTCCACGATACGAACAGAGGAGACGCCATGGCCAAAGTGTGCGCGCTGAACCCCCGCAGCAGAACGCTAGTGGTAATCAGAATGCCGGGAATGTGGAGACTCAACAACCGCCTGCTAACGCAGAGGCACAAGTTCAAGAACAACCTGAGGTGGTAGAAACCCAATCACATCCCGAAAGTGAAGAAAATGGACTCAAATCTGGCAGCGTGAGCACTGAGCATGAAACCCAGGATGGTGATATCCCATGTGGTGACGAAAAAGCTAGTGATGTTGAGAGCAAGCAGGAGTCTGAGACCCCGAAAGATCAACAAAAACAAAAGAATAGCAAAGGTGTTAAAAAAACTGTGACATTTCAAGATCAACAACCTCCCCGGAAAAATGCGGAAAAACAGTCACAACAGAAATCTACGGATGCAGATGACACCAAAAAATCTGCGACTGTCGCTGCGAAAAATAAGAAATCTAAAAAGAGAGCACAAAAGCATCGTAAGGGTAAGAAACATGTGTAAAAACAGGAAAAACCGGTTACTTACGAATCGAAGTAAGAAAGCTCTATGTATGTTACGCATAATCTTCGTGAAAATCAGTGTTTAAAATTAATAATGCATGTACCCCCAGTAAAATGTAATCTCCCAGTGAAACTAAACCCAAAATGTGTTGTTCGTGTATTCCTCACATATTAAACTGGTAAGCAAAGTAAGTTAGATTGGCACAAAATAAATATGATTTTAGCTATAGTGATAATAAAAGCTCATATTACGGAGCTAATGCATTTATTATTACGTGATTATTCTTTAGTCGCATAACGTTACGCAATACCCGTATGCTATACAATACATAATATGTAATAGTGATCATTGTGTCGTGAGTTAATTATAATAGTTTGTACTTTAAATCTTCTCGCGGATACCTATACAAAATGTATTTTTTGAAAGTTTTGTGACAAATGTGATTTCAGTTTTAGTAACCTTTAGCTTAATGTTCTTGACCCGTTTGTAATAACATAATTCATGTCTTGTTACACTATTTTAAGAATATTGTAGTATTGTCTGTGTGTTGTTCTCCTAACCTTCCTGGGGATACCTAAACAATAGCATGTTTTTCGTATTCAATGTATTTGGTAATTTTTTAGCCTCTTTATTCCCTGCAATCTGCCTAGTTAGGCATTAATCGGTGATTAAGAGGTTCATGTATTGTGACATGTACGGTATACGCCAAGTGGTGTACCCGTCTTCAAATATTGCTTCCCTCGAGGTGGATGTTCGATGCGCCTAAAGGTGCTGGCTGACTTCATAAGCTCTCTAGCAAGCTCGATGGGGTGACTCCTTATGCGATGCGTATACGACTTTAGTTTATTTATGACTTCCTATTTCACTGATCTAATTTTTAAGTGTCGGTGTAATTGGGTATTAGTTATATACCATGGGGCATTTTCTATCATTTTTTATTTGAAGCGTTGTATAATGTCCAAGTTTGAGTTAGCTGCGGTCCCCCAGAGTTTTGATCCATATGACCATATTGGTTTTATGTAGCTTATCAGGAGAAGTTTGTTGTTAAGTGACAGGTTTGACTTTCGTGCCGTGAGTTCGTAAAGATTGCGAAGTTGTGTACTTAGAGCTTTCCTTTTGGCAAATATGTGCTTCTTCCAAGTCAAATGTTAGTCCAAGTATACCTCTAAGTAGTGTACGTCATCCGACTGAGGAATAAATATGCCATTGAAAACAGCTAGGGGACATGTATGTCTGAAGGTGAAAGTTACGTGTACTGATTTGGATTCATTACCTTTATTCTCCAATCCTTTAACCAGGCCGAAACGTCATTAAGGCTTCTTTGCAACATGTCTGACGCAGTTACAGAACTTTAATGTGTTGCAATAAGAGCAGTATCGTCAGCAAATGTCCCTACGAGGACATCATCGCAGGTTTATCGGTCAAAACTATATATTAGGTAGGTATAAAGCTAAGGACTCACGGCGTGATTTTCTCTTGCGCCCACTGCGGTTGCCGGCCCGTAATCTTTGTAGAAAACAGAAATGTATGTAAAAAATCAAAACAAATTTCACGGTGCGTTTTACGTCAGCGGCGGTTGCGATTATTTGCGGCTCCCGCAGCATCGCCGGGCGCGGCTGCATTCCCGCAGTCGCGGCGGCTAGCAACCGCGCGCTCTGTGATCGGTTGGCGGGCGGTTGCTATGGGACGGCCGCCCGTTTTGCGATAGTCAAACCGCCTTGTTTGCGGGCGATAATCGCAACCGCGGCGGCTACGGGATTGCAGTAAATTGTAATTTAAAAATTCTGCCTCCATTACGCAACCGCTGCGGGTGCGGGAGAAGATCGCGCCGTGAGTCCTTAGTCTCAGACAGACAGACCCATCACGCTGCTTTGGGGACCACCTGCATGGATTTTATGAAGATTACTTCTGGCTTCTCCATCTTTTACATAGAAATGTCGTTGTTGGAAGTATGATTTGATGATGAGATAGAGGTTGATTGGTAAGGCTTGTAAGTTTTTAAATAAGAGTCCCTCGTGCCACACACGAGCGAAGACCTGCGATGTGTCTAAATATGCCGCTGAGGAGTATTTCTTGTTTTCAAATGCATGGTTTATCTTTGCAACCAAATGATGTTCCTGTTCAGTTGTCCCATGAGCTTTGCGCAATCCAAAATGATGAGCACGTTACAGGTTCCCAGGTTTTGGAATGACGATATTTTCTATTGAACGGATTGTGATTGATAATTTCCAGGGACGCATTCATGTGTCAAGATTGAGTTATAAATAGCAGTTAGTAGGGTTAGGCTTTGTGAGGCAATTCTTTCATCACTTTACTTGTAATAAGGTCATAACCAGGAAGTATATTGTTTATTTATATATTACATTAAATGTAATTGATAAACAAACAATATTCTATCAACATTAAATAAATTTGTAGTATGATACAACTAAATGTATTTTGTAGTGGTCAGGTGGTGTTAAATGCTCAATGTGCTATAGTTGTTGAATTTGAATAACATACATTAATTATTTTCACATAACTTATGGACATATTAATACAATTCTAATAATGAAACACTTGTATTTTGTTTATTATTCTATCCATGTATGTACTTCAATCTCTTTTAAAACTGGATTGGGCGAGTATAGGCAGTAGATACGGAATGTTCAGGGTAAAAATGAAATTGTATTTTCTAAACAAGTTCTATCTACATGAAGCATTTTACTTCATGATCGTAGACCTTGTGTTTTTATTAGTATTAGTTTTTCTATGATGTATTGTATTGTATTTTGTCTCGTATAATCACCATGAATGATTACAGGGACTATATTTTAATTTAATATATTTATACTCTACTATCCCATTAAGTAAACACTCTGACATTCATTGATCATAATTCCATAATACACATATGTTAGTAAGTGTACAACGTTTTACTATTACTCATAAATATTACATTTTTACTCTTGATGTCAATTTAATTAATGTTTCGTCGTAATAAATGTCAACAATAAACATGATAATCAAGTAATTCTGATGCTTTTTATTGCCAATGCAACCGTATTTTTCTTTAAATATCCCTGAAACTTGCGAATGCAATACATAACATATTTGCAAAGCTTTGCGAATAACATTTGATTCTTATTAATGAAAGAAAATAAAAATTAGTCTTTCTTCAATTCTTTTCGTTTGCATAAAATGAAATTAATTTTAATTAGGATTGTGGAGAAGTATTACAAATAACACAAATGTAGTTGTTGAGACCTTGTAATACTTATGTTGAAATGTGAATTATATTTCAGATTTTTTTCAATTCTACCTCTCCTTTTGGAACAGTATTACTGTCTAATACTAAATCTAAAGAACAACTAACAAATAAATACAATTCACTGTATTCTTTATCTCATCACCAAACCTAAGCTCAAGGAAGGCAGATGTAAAATATTCACTGTTGACTTTAAGTATAATGTCAACTAGTATTAAACAAGTCAAATTGTGAATAACATTTTAGAGGGATACATAGTACATACTAGTATTAGATAAAAAATATCTAGATTATTATGGAGTTAGTAAAGGAAAGTAAGATTTTGATATCGGATATAAATTCGTTGCGAGTGTATTACGGCGTAGTACGACTCGTGATGCCCTTTCGTGAACTGATAACTTTTCTAAATACACATTTCAATTTCACGAGTGACTCGAAGTATCTTATTTATGAGTAGCTATGTTTGTTTATTGTAAAAGTAAGTTTTTTTAGGCTCTGCTATTCCTACTCTGATTTAAATAAACTCTAAATCTTTTTCATCAATATCAGAAAAGTAAGCTAATTTATTTGTTGCGAATGTTTACTACGACATTTTCAATGTAATTTAATAATGAATTTTATTATCTCGTCTTAACACCATTTTATTGTATGTTCTGGAAATGTACTAAAATGATTTTCTAATTACGATTATAGAAGAGTAATGTGGTGTGGTGGTAGAAGCAAAGATCTTGAAATTAATAATTATTGGTTATTACTATTTATGTAATATATTTTTCAGAACATTAAAACAAATCAATAAATTAAAGTTTTGACTAAATATTTAGATTAATATGTATGTAGTTTGTAGGAATAGTTAAATTCTTTCGAGTAGGGTTGTGTGTGCGTGTAACAAATTAGAATGTTGCCCTCAGTACAACAATAAGGCATTGTTAAACAGTAAAGGAACTTTGGTTTGTTTTTTGGAATGTTAATATTTTGATGTAATAATAAAATCTATGAACATTACTACCTTATCTACCTCTACACCAACATGCACTCACACCTTTCTCCTTAATTATTTTTGGGGATTAGCAGAAGCCCCAAATTGGCTACTATCAATACTTTTCAGCTTTACAGGAGTCCTAAGGTTAGTATTATTTATTAGATTATGTGTTCTATCTAGAATTAGCCACATTTAGCAGCTGAATTTCTTAAAGAAGAGAGAACACAGTCACAATATCCTTTGGGCCCTATTTTATTGAGATATTATATTGCGAAATGCGTTTGATATTGTCATTTTAAGCGAATCTTTTTATTTGTATGTATGGTTTCGTATAATTTTTTCTGTTATTTACAACCAACTTTATGAATAAATGTTTGGCGGTTTTAAGGGATGGCGGTACATGGTGAAGCTGGCTGCCCACAACAATGGAGCTCACATCCACCACCAGCAGCTTACAAAAGAAGATGTTCCCGCCATCGTGGACAAGTGCCTTAGCTTTATCTATGCTCATGGTACGTATACAAAAAAAGGGTAACATTGTTTTAAGCCTTCCATGTTGTATTAGTGTTCTTCTGAGCTTCTACAACGCTGATACCGATTTACTGATATAATCAGCAATGATTTGACAAACAGCTTCTTTAAGAATAATGGCCACCCTCAGCACCTGTAAAGGTGACCGAGTTCTCTGAAGAGAGCTGCTCCGGAGCCCCCACGATGGAACGCCTGTTACAGCACATCCCTGGGGAATAGGGGTGAGCCATATACCGGGCACATTTCCGGACTCCGTGGTACTACTGATTGTTTTTTTTTAAACTTAGTAAATAATAATTCTTTTCCCGACCCGGGAATCGAACCCGAGACCCCTTGCCCGTCAGTCGCCCTTGCGACCGCCAACGAGGCAGCATATAGGTACATCTACACTAATAGTATAAAGGGGAAGGATTTGATTTTTTGTTTGTTTGGTTGAATGAAATCTCCTCCAAAACTACCAGTACGATTTGAAAAATTCTTTTAACGTTGAGAATTCTACATTATCGATGTTGAAAATAGGCTATAATTAATAAGAGAGAAAAAAGGGAACCGTGTAAAAACTTCGATAATGTAACCCGATGTGTAAAAATACTACCAAATAACTTCTTATATTGCTTAAGCCTTTGACTGCCAGTTTTCAAGGACTGTTTTGTTTGTTTTATAAAATTCTTTATTAAAATAAGTAGGTGTACACAAATTGAAAAACTTACTGTACTAAGTCACAATTCCGTCTTCAAATAACAACACTTTTACAGGCTGTGTAAGCCTTTTTAAGTATTTTAAAACAATAAGTAGGTAATGTATGCTTGATATTATGATAACTTAATAATGTTATACATATGAAATCATTGTAATGATTCCATTATTATAGTCCGAGGGTAAAAATTCATTAATTACGCGCATACATAAAATGTTGCGAACAGTGGTAGCGCAGGTAGCCGCACCAAGTTACAAGAGCGACTGAGCCTCCGCGCCCCGCGCCTCCTCACAGTTTAGTGACGAGGGCTGGGTAGCGCTGGCGCAGTGCGTGGTTCATGCTACGATGGTATCAGTTTTGTGTGCGAACAAAACGTAGTGATGTGGGAGCTTGTATGTACCATATCTATCGATACCATGCAAATCATGCAAATCTTTCCGCCCTATGTCGGCAATCAAAGTATTATAGTGACATTTATTTTTACTGTAAAATTTGCGAGTTAGTTTTAAAATGTATTGTGTGATGTTTGGTAAATTAATTTTCGAGTGAAGTATTTGGAGATTAGTCAAAAATGGAGTATTATAAGCGATTCTAACAGCTTTATTTTGTAGAATCTGTAAATGTTTATAATTTGATTCACAAGTATTGCTCCATACTGGACATGAATAGGTGATGCAAGGTCTAATTAAGGTTGTGTATAGTCAAATTTTTGTCTTAGGGCTGAGTCTGCTCTTACGGTTGAGTATAGGGTTTAGGGAACCTAGTGCTTGTGCTCCCTTGACACGTAATTTTGGTATGTGTTTACTCCAGTTTAACCTTTTGTCCAGCGTGATACCCAGGTAGCGAACTGCTGCACTCCAAGGAATGGACTGACCAGAAATATTCAAATTTCTTTTAGGGACGTTACGTTGACGTGTAAAAAGAATGGCTTCAGTTTTAGATTCATTCAATTTGAGCTTCCATTTATTGAAGTAAGACTGGAGTAATTCAAGAGACATCTGAAGTCGGCTAATGATAATGTCAACGTCGCTATCTGAAGTATAAGATGCTGTATCATCAGCAAAACAGGCCAAGTGGGTACGGACTTGCACAGGCAAGTCATTAACATACAGGATAAAGAGGTAAGGACCAAGCACCGATCTCTGCGGTACCCCAGCCATCATCACACGGGATGACGACCTATTAGAGCCAATATGTACCACGAACTTGCGATCACTGAGGTAGGACTGAATTAGTTTTACTAAATTCAATGGAATTCCGAAAGAGATGAGCTTGTATAACAAGCCATCATGCCAGACAGTATCGAAAGCTTTTTCGATATCAAGAAGGAACATGCCGGTAGACTGTTTATGATTAAGATGATAAGATGTATGTTCGGAAACTCTGGCCAATAGGGTAGACGACTAATTTTTATTTTAATGTCCGTCTGGTAGATTATTTAAAAACATTAGACACGTATTTTTTATTTTCTTACGGAAACGAATAGTTTCGAAGATATATTGATTTGAAATGTCGCGTGACGTCACTTCTCAGTACATTTTATACTGAGAAATGACGTTTTAGCCCCCACTCCTAAACTTTGATTCGTTTTATCTAAGTATTGTTTTATTATACGACAAAATAAAAAAATACGTGTCCTATATTTTTTAATTACCTAACTTACGGACTAATTAGATTTTTAATTTTCATACCCTGTCATCATCCCCATTGTTGCACCGTAGAGTGAGATGAGCGAAAGCCAAATTGCTCGTTCCGGATAAGCTGTTCTGAGGATCGCCGCAACCGATCATATATCAATACCTCGAAAAGTTTACCTAGGATAGGTAGAAGGCTGATGGGCCTATAGCTGGTCGGCAATGCAATGTCCTTTCCTGGTTTTTTCAGAGCAATAACTTTTGCAGTTTTCCACATATGAGGAAAATAACCCAACTTTATACAACCATTAAATATTTTGATAATATACACAATAGACATTTTTCGACAGGTTTTTAAGCATTATATTGTGTATTCCATCATCGCCAGGTGCCTTTCTAGTCTTAAGTTTACGTACAACTTTCCAGACTTCAGTAGGCCGGACTGGTTGATGAAAATTATCTATGGCATGATTATTTAAGACGGTTATAGCTGATTGAACATCCGTTTCAACACGATCGCTAACCCAGTCGTGGGTTAGGTTCATGTTCATCGCGAAAGTATCTGCTAAGCCCTCACACTGCTCAGACGTGTTCGCTGTTAATAAGCCGTCTGAAGTTTTAAGTGGAGGTATTGTGTCAGATTTAGGCTTAAGAGTTTTCACCAGACGCCATTAATCGTTGCCAGGATTGTCAACTTTAGAAAGTTTTGAATTCCATAATGTGTCTTGATATTTTATAATATGTAACTTGATAAGTTTTTGTAAATAATTGATAGCTGATCTTAAGTGTCTTTTGTCTGTAGTTAGTGCTTTTTGTTCTTTACGCCTTAAAAAGTTTTTGTATTTAATTATTTTTGTAATGTAGCTAGGTAAGACATTGTTAGTGTTAATAGGTTGTTTAGCAGTAACAAATTTATATCTGGCTTCAATGAGGCATTGATGATTGATGTAAGTGGATGTAACGGCTTCGTCAATTTCTGGCTCCGACTTGAACACATTCGAGCTTAGAAATATATGCTGATCAAGAAAAGAACGGTACTTTTTCCAATCAGTGTTAACATAAGAGTAGACTTTAGGAATGGGTTTGCGAGAACAAAAACCATTGATTGTGAACAGTACAGGAAAGTGATTAGATGATAGGGCTGGTAGAACTTGAATATTATGGATACTATTGACATTCAACGATAGAACTAAATCAGACGGAGTAAGATCAGCTCGGTAGTTGACTTGAGTGGGTGTATCAGGACAATGTATAATGTAGTCATGGCTCAGCATATGACGGAACAATGTGTTGCCTCGAGTGTTAGTATAACTACTGTTCAAAAACAAAATGTCCAAGTCACCACCTTCAAGCCTTAAATTGGGAGATTGATAAGCCGAAACAAACACCTTGCCTCCAATTACCAAGCCAATAGCGACTGCTTCAATATGTTTGGTTTTGGGAATAATAACCTGCCGAGCCTCGAGTCTATCGTTGACCAATATGGCTACACCTTGCCCTCGACCACTATGGTGTTTATCTTGACGGTAGCATATATAACCTGGTGTACTCATGAAAGTGTTATTAGTGAGTTTAGTTTCACAGACAGCTGTAATATCAATAGATAGGATACATACCGCCAGATCAAGTAATTCATAAATTTTAGATCGTAATCCGTCGGAATTCCATGATAGCAGTGATAATTCATAGGAGTTATACATAGTGACCAAGATGGGATAAAATTAACATTACTTTGTCCAGTGTGGACTCGCAAGCAGAAAATTGTGGTTTAAGATTTTTAATACAGATTAGTATTTCTAACATCTCTTTCGTCACTGGGTCATCCGGTGGTATCTCCAGGTCGTCTTTCGCAATGGAATCATAACCTGTGTGGGTCTTAACAACAGCAGCATAGGAAGGTTTCTTAGGTATGGGTGGGGCAACCGCAGGATCCGTAGATAGGTACCTTAATTCGGAGGGTCTTGAAGGTAGATTTTCACGTCTTGCTTGAACACGCTTCAAGTAAGCAAGACGAGACTCGCACTTATGATAGTTTGCAGGGTGATTTTGTTCACAATTACAACATTGTGCGGGTTCCGTCCGGTCTTTTTTGGAGACTTTTTCATCTTTTCGGGTGTATGTAAGAAGAGCAGCGTTTACTTTTCGGAGCCCTTCCTTCACAATCTGGTGGGCGTCAGACGTGTAACAGATAACAGCAACTTTGTTGTTAGCTCTGTACTGAAGATGGAACCTGTTTGTAAACCGGGAGATTAAGTTTTTAATAGACTCATGGGTCCAGTCTTTCTGCATCTCTAAAATCAGGGGTGGGATATGTCCCGTCTTCTTTGCTCCGGTTGATGCATCGATAAAGCAAGCATTCGTTGCAGATTCGTTCTTATCTTCCACAGGGAGGTCTTTGTATTTATTTTGCAGCGGTAATCTTCGCGACTCGTCGAACTTCTCCGAATTCCGAGCGACAGCAGGATGCTTAGCGAATTGCCAAGGGCCAATAAGGTCTTCACCGGTTGATGGTCAATATAATGTATATATATATATCAACTCACCGGTCAAATTGTTTACCTCTAAGCTACCATTTCATATTTTATTTTGATATATTTATGGCAAATACCCAATTATATTTACGAGAATTACAAGGAAACGGCCCCTACCTAAAAACTTTTCCAATATAATCATTATCCCACAATGTGATTTTGTTCCGTAAGCCAGTATGAACTGACTGTTGAATCTGCGGAAAGATCATTTTAGGCGAGATCATGATAAACTGATATACATGATGATTTTTTTTATAACAAATATTTTGATATATTAATTATATTATATTATGCATACTCTACCTTGCCATGCATAAATTATTCTAATCGATTCTAGGTTTTTGCTCCATAGTAATCGACATCCCACTATTTGGACTTTGGACACACTCGGTCATTAATTATTTGAACATACTCATCTCCGGAACTTCTAATTCGAATTGAATAATTATTTTTGTGTTGAATAGTCCATTTATTGACGACGCTAAAGGAGTATAGACAATAAAATTTCACGCTACATTCTATGGAAGCCGAGCAGAGCGGGTGAAACCGAGCGAAAGTAGCTAGTAAATAAATTATAAAAAAAATATCATAGTTTGGGGCAAGTGGCAACGCAAACAAAAACAATCGGACCCACGACACGTTGCGCTGCAGCCAGTTGCCCAACCACTGTGCCCACCGTACCGTACATTTGAGTAAAAAGTTGAATAATAAATAAAAGCTTATACAATACAATTTTAACCGATATACTTATCGACTTCACATTTTACCATCATACATTAAATAAGCACAATTTATACAAAAAAAGAGATCTTTCTTTGCAACTGTAATTGATCTTTTGGCTTTCATAAAACCGCAACAGCAACAACCGCAAAAAACAATAAATTCAAATGAGTTTCTATTGTATCAAAATAAATAAACAAAATTGTACTAAGACTTGCTGTTATGCGACTTCACTGGTAAATACCGTTTTATTTCTCTGAATAAAAGTAGTAAGTAATAAAAGTACAGTGTACCTAAACTTAAAAAAACTAATTCCTTAACAATTTTCTTTTATTTTATTTATTTAAATTGATCGATTTTATTAAAATAATGAGTGGGTAACACCGAACGGGGTCGCGATTGAAAATGAAAAGGCGGGAAAGGGAATGTCATCTCAATCTGTCAATCTATCTGTCATTCGGAAAAAACCGCGGCCCGCGCTAATGTAAAGCAATCTATAATTTAATTTATACTGCAATTTGTTAGTGCAAATGTTATGTGAGAATAAATAGTAACAAGTTGATTGATTCAAGTGTGCTATTTAAAACAGTTCATGATGGACAGCGATAGTCAAGCGTGCTCGCCATGAAACACCCCCTGGATGATCTCGCTTACGTGTAATAATAATATCAATAAGATATAAGTAGATGATGATTAAAATACGTATACGATGTGTCATGTAACCTTTTAGAAATGAAGGATTAATTTTTTCTCTTCGACTTCGCGTTGACTGAATTACTTCCAACCTGTTGATTGTATGTTTTCAGGCAGTCTCTCGGAAGGTATCTACCGTCGCGCAGGCAGTGGCTCTGTGCTGTCTGAGCTGTTGGCTCGGTTCCGTCGCGATGCGTGGTCTGTCCAGCTCAGCCCCGTGCAACATTCCGAGCATGATGTTACCGGCGTCCTCAAAAGGTCTGTATTTATTTTACATACATAACAACTATTGATGTTTTAGATGTCGATTGGCGACACTGATTGCTAACCATCAGATGCTCTATCTGTGGCCACATATGTGATATATAGTTAACTAGCTTCTGCCCGCGACTTCGTACGCGCAATCACGATATTTCCCGTTCCCGTTCTTGATTTTCGGTAAAAAGTAAAAAAAAAATATTGGGTAAAAAGTATCCTATGTCCGTCTCCTGGCTCTAAGCTACCTCCCTACCAATTTTCAGCCAAATCTATTCTGCCGTTCTTGAGTTATAAGTGGTGTAACTAACACGACTTTCTTTTATATATATAGATTAATGCAATAGAGATATTTTGGTCATAGGTGTATAGCAATTTATTAGCTGATGCCAGCTTTGCCTGCATTCCCACTGGATAAAAGTACCCTATGCGTCATTCCAGACTAATCTATCCCTGGTCCAAATTTCATCCTAGTTCCTGCAGTCATTTTGACAACAAATTGAGTATTCATTTCAAATAACTAATTGATTACTATTTCTGTTTGATTTTTATTTTATAATGAATCTTTTGTTGTGGCTTTGTTGTAACAGTTTTTGAATAACATTAGAATCGCCTCTTGTGTTTAGTTTCTTTATTGCTCTTTATTTTCGCATTATATCATTAAGTAAATGCCAGTGTTCCATAATCTACACATGCAATCCTACTAAATAAAACCAAATGCTTTAATAAGTTAATATTTAGAATAACATAAGAACTACTTTACTACCTGGACATAACCACTGTAGAATCTGGTAAATTACATTATATGTTTATTGTTGATATTTCATGCTTACCTAGTGGAAGAGGATTATAACTCGAAGACTGTAAGTGACCTGGAGACAATATGTCATTATTTCTAATACTTGTCCAATTAAATTATTATACCTATGTACCTAAATTATCATTATAATTTTAATAATATTTGTTTCATCTTGTTCAACTTTTGACAGAATATATTATTTCACTGAATACATATAAAATATAGAATTGTTTTTTATATTTCAGGTTCTTCCGTGACCTTCCTGAACCTTTGGTGCCACAAGAAAAACATAAAGACCTGGTAGCAGCTCTAGGTGTGTTAAATTACTTTAATAGTATTTCTTATTATAAGTCTGTAGCTTACAACTTACCATGAAATAACAGAAGTATTATAAGAGTATTGGCGACCATTATAATGACCATAATTTGATAGATTAAAGTCAAGAATAACAATGCCATTTCTTTTTTTTTTATATTTGATGGGGTGACGTTTGACCACTATCTCACCTGATGGCAAGCGATGATGCGGTCTACGTCAGTCTACATTATATGGAGCTCTTTCATTGTTGTTGCAAGGTCAAATTAATGGAAATTAATCAAGATATCTATTAATGAAACTTGGTATACTCATGTGCAATATGTCAAGGTCTATGTAATTGATTGAAATCTTTTATCAAGCAATTTAAATATTGTTTTAAGTTTGTTAGGACAATTAAAACATAAATTGCATTTTTGTATCTTTAATTTTTTACTTTTTTGAGAATGTGTTTTATTCTGTGATGCGACATTATACATACTTTTATAATAAATTACAGAGATATCAGACCAGACCGCCCGGTACCATGAGTACCATCGCATCATGTCTTCTTTGCCTCTAGTGGCACGCAATACTGCGCGTAAACTGTTTGCTCACCTACACTTCTTGCACACAATGGCACATGCTAACAAGATGGGTGCCGAAAATTTGGCCTCTGTATGGGCCCCTACTATCATGCCTGCAGCCATGGTAAGCCTTCTTAAAACTATTAGATTTATTATGGTCGAAGAATTTTACTCCTCAGGACTTCGCGTTTGGGTTGAAAAAAATAATGATTCATGTGAACAATGTCACTACTTTTCTCTCTGTTATGAGTCTTTTCTATGTCACCCAACATAACACTAGGAATATGGACTCGTGATTTATTATTTAAATAAAAAAGACACATAACCTAACCAGGTGGCAACCGCCACATGTGAAATGTCTGTTACCACATTGCGTGCATTGTTGAATGGTCCAGATGCATTGAGGAAAATGCAATGTTTTTGGGTTCGGTTCCTGGGAGACAATAACATCGGTATTATAATTAGAGTTTTGATATAATCACTACTCTTTGTAACTGCCTTGTCTATTCATAATTATGTTACAGACTAGCAACACGCTACAGACTGCTTGGTCGACCAAGGAGGTGTTCGTAGTTCGAGATCTGATTGCCAACTTCGAGTCTATATGGGAGCCTACGGACGCTGAGAAACGTCGCGAGGCGGCCGTGAGACGAGTCATCATGAGAGTACTTAGTAACTCCGCTCCAGCCGCCCCGAAAGCAGCCGGTGATTTGAGAACCTGGGTCTATGTTCATGATAAGTCAACCTGCTATCAAATTACTGTAAGTTACAAACAATTGTTTAAAGGGCTACAGTTGGGTATAGACTACCATCAACAAACGCAATGTAATAGCATTCCTTTTGGTGTGTTCTGTGTTAATAATGCAAGTGTCTTATTGCTTGTAACTTGTTCTATACCAATTCTTCAGAACTTGAACTTATCAATACATAGTATAAAACAAAGTCGCTTTCGCTGTATGTCCGTATGTATGCTTAGATCTTTAAAACTACGCAACGGATTTTGATGCGGTTTTTTTTAATAGATAGAGTGATTCTTAAGGAAGGTTTGTATGTATATACATATTGCACCAGTGCGAAGCCGGGGCGGGTCGCTAGTTATGGTATAAAATAGTACTTAATAGATAAAATAGACTTCCTGGCTCTGAGCACCATGAAATCATAGTAGTTTTGTATGATGACTACATCATACAAAACTACATATTTTTACATACATTTGTATGGTGAAGTGTAAATTTCTTCTTATGAGCATTGAATGAAATCAATCATTCACATGGTGTAGACTAATAAAATCAGCTGAATTGACTTGTAAAGTTGCCAATAGGAGTGAATAACTTTCGTAATGAGTTTCATTGAATGATATTAAAATGATTTATGTGCCTTCATTTCATTTCACAGCTAACACCAAATAAAACAAGCTCAGATGTGTGCATAGAACTGTGTGAAAAGGCAAAATCAGAGTCTCATCTACTAATGCTAGAAGAAGTCATATGTAACGACACGATGCGGCGCATAGTGCATATTGATGAAGTGGTATTGGACGTGGTACTTCGATGGAGTTACTGGGATGAGGACGACAGGAAACACAACTATTTGCTAGTGAAAGAGAATAAAATACTCCATGATATGGAGGCAATGAGACAAACGCCGTCCGTCTGCGGTGAGCTCCGACTCGCCACTGAGGCAATGAAGTCTTTTAAACTACATATGTTTGAGGTGCAAAATTCTAGGCTGTGCTATTTCAAAGATAAACAGGTGAGCTTACTATGTATCAACAGAGTAAATGAATTGTGATGCTTAAATCAATCAGTAAAAAAAGGTACATTACATTTCGGTTTTACAATTATATAAATATTTGTCATCGTGTCCTGGAGGTTACGGCATCCAGTCCTCGAGCATAAGAGTCCAGGGCCTTTAGCCAAACGCCACTTTAGCGCTTGTCTACAGAGAGTAGAAATCAAAATTTATGGGGATGACACTGACAAGTGCCAAAATTTACGCGAATTCCATTTAATTTTGTTTTCTATTCTTCATGTAGACAAACGCTAAATGGCATTTGGCTACAGCTGCTGGTTAGAAACCTGTCAAGTACAAACGTGACATTTTTAAGACATATGACGAAACGAACTTGAACTTATATTTAAAGCTGAAGAATTCGTTTGTTTCTTTGAACGCTGTAATCTCAGGAACTACTGGTCCGATTTGAAAAATTGTTTTTGTATTGGATTGTCCTTTTATCGAGAAAGGTTATACGCTATAAAACATCACGCTACGATCAACATGCGCCGAGCAGAGCGGGTAGTTAGCAACCGCGCGGAACAGCTAGTTTCAAATTGCCAACTTGAGCAAGCGTGGCAATTAATAAAGAACATTAATCAGCACGCTTGCTCAAGGTAGATTGGTTTTCTTGGTGTGAAAAGAGGTTGTTGTTGTTGTGTGAATTGAATTGAAGTGAATTGAATTATGATATTATGTGTACAATAAGTAATGTATTAACTTTACATGAGTTGTATATCATAAGATCAAGGTGTGTACAGTCATGAGTCTCATAAAACAATATATTTGCAGGGTTCTCATAAGATAGAGGAGTGGAAAATAAAGGACATTTTGTGGTATGTGGGTCATGAGGTAAAAAGGAATCCTCAGTCGCGGTGGGCCATCACATTTATACCTAGAAACAAACAGAAACGGTAACTTATTATAATATTAGATATATCATATTAACACCTTTTCTTGTGTTTATTTACATTACTTAAGAAGCTTAGTACTTATTGTATCAGTCATTTACATTTTTTCTTGGGTAACTATTTATCAGTACCTGACAGATAAAGTATCAGATAGACAATGAATTATATTTGCTAAGCAATATAGCAAGATTGTATTGGCAAACAAAGCCAATACAATCTTGCTATATTGAAGATATTGCGGTTTCCTTATATGCCATTTAGGTGTGCAAGCTAAGTGCATATAAATATACATTAGACTTTGCATTACCTATAAAAAAAAGATTTAACAAGTAACAATTATTTATTACTGTTTTTTGAAAGATTTGTAGACGCACGACATAATATGACTGCACGGTTGGTGCGGTGGCTGGGCATCCGGCTACCGTGCAACGTGTCGCGGGTTCGATTCCCGCACGGAACAACACTTTGTGTGATCCACAAATTGTTGTTTCGGGTCTGGGTGTCATGTGTATGTTTGTAAACGCACCCACGACACCGTAGAAAATCCAAAAATTTTTTTTTTAAATCACGTTGCCCACTAAAAAAAAAAAATTGTAAATTCCTGTGTTCATATACTTAGTTTTTTTTGTTTGTTATAAGTGATACAAGTATAACACACTATCGCGTTTCCGATTATGTTTACTGTCGTATGTCAGCTAGAAGATAAATCTATACTAATATTATAAAGAGGAAAGATTTGTATTTTTGTATTTTTGTATGTTTGTAATGAATAAACTCAAAAACTACTGAACCGATTGCAATAATTTTTTCACCATTCGAAAGCTGCATTATTCAGAAGTAACATAGGCTATATAATATCACGCTAGGTCCTATAGTTGTGGAGCAGTAACCAAAAATGTTTTAAAAACGGGGGAAAAGTATCGTTTCTGAGGCCTTCCGTGGCGTGCGCTGAGCATATAGTTAAAGTTATACAAAAATGTTCTATAGATGAATTGTTTATCTTAACATTATTTTTAAAAAAGTCCGCGAGAGCATATGTCTACCTTTTATAGTTTACCCATAACAATCGTTTTAATGAATGGTTCAATCCTTATAAAAGTTTGCTCTAGATAACTTTTGAATTGTTCAATCGGTTACCTTAAGTCGCGACATCGACAACGGAGGGCAGGTCGCTAAAAAAAAAACTGAGAATAAATATAAATAAAACGTAAAACTATGTAAAAAATCTTAAGTCCCCCCGTGCGAAGCCGGGACGGGCCGCTAGTAGTAAATAAAAACACCCACATGCAAAACACTTTTAGAGGTATAAATAGCATAATATTATACTTTGCAGGAGTAAAGACAAACCGTGGTTCGGTTGCACCATAGCGGGCGCTGTGACGGAGGACCAGCTTAAGTGGATGACGGCACTTATGTTCGCAGAGCATTCGACAATACTACCGACCCCTCGACTAGTTATCACATAATCTTGTATCTCATGGTAAGGTACATATTACAATAATATAGCAATACTTCCTACATTCATAAAAATCTAAAAAAAAATTCATAATCATCACATCCTAATAGGCTTATTACAGCCAATGATTTATTTCGGAAATGACTAGCATTACTTGGAACCATTATGTTCGAATCTATATAAATGAAACTAAGTCTTCTGAATGTAATATTTGTGAGGTTTAATTTTATACTACCACAGCAATTTGAATAACTTCTTTTTGTTTCATTATCGTCAAGGCAAGATTTTTATGAAATAAATATTTGGGATTCGGGAAAAATTAATACTAGTCAAACAAATCTGAGGTGAATAGTATTATGATTGTGAAATAAATGAAAAACTTTGATGTTATTTTTTACAGGAGAGCAGACAACTGGTGTCCATAAATTGACTTCAATTGCATAGTCCAGCAATTTCACACTTTAAAATTATCTGCAATGTGTTAGAAAATTATCTTAATTTATTACTGTAAACACATGTGTTTCGATGCACACATCAGTACTACTAACTTGCCAAGATTGTTTACATTGTAAGGAATATTCCACATTCAGTTTTTAGAGTGAGTATGGTCATCTACATATTGTATACTTGGGTAGAGGTTGTAGTCACTTGTCTGAAAAAAATAAAGGTAACACTAGATCCTGTTTGGTCTCATGTGTAGCATGTAGCCACATTGTAGAATGTTTACAAACATTCACATAGATTAACCTAGGTATGAAATAAAATGCCATTAAAGAAAAGCTAAACTAAGCTGGCAAAACTTAATTTATATTTATATAGCTTTGCAAATTGCTTTTAAACAAAATATAAATGTAGAAGTGTATTGATCATTTTATTTAATCATTTATATTTTTTACGATAATTGAGTAAAATTTGCATCAAATTACAAGGTAACATAACAATTGGGTACTTGCCAACTATTCAAATTCAATACTTTTTTCGACCGGTCAGAAACAACAGTTTTCTATCAATTTTGTATGAGTATTGTTACATCACTGTTTTTGCGTCAAACAGCATACTTATTTATTTTCTGGAAAATACTAAAATTAAGTTTAACATAAAATCAATTAATAAAAATAATTACAATTAATGAAATTGTAATTATTTTTTTATTATATTCTTGTATTGAACAGTCAAAATAATTTATTTTTTATTAAGAAAAGTACCCAATTGGCTATTACAGAGACAATAGCTTTCTTGTTTGAGCAGAGTTAAACATCAACACGTAAATGACACAGATTTTTATATGTATTTATTTGTTTGTTACCTTCTTTTCCAAAGTAACTAGGTAATTAATTATTTAATTCTCATGATAGTAAAACTATTTTTTATTAACATTATGTAATTATTATGTACTATTAGATTTGACGTTGAAAATAATAAGAAATGCAATTAACTCAATAAAGACATAGAAATAAGTTGTATATAATTCGTAATTAATATATGATGTATGAAAGTGGATTGAAATATATTTACAATATCCGTAAAATAGTACAATTATATTTGAAAATATACTATTTTTTAATGTTGGAATCTCTGCTTGGCTAATTATTATTAAAAGAGTTTATTTTATATTTTAACAGATTAATTATTAGTTACAGTTAGTTACTAGTTAGTTATTATATTTAAACCATTAATTAGGCATTATTTTATAAATGGTAATAATGTTCAGTAAGACTGTGATGTGGCAAATTGAATTTTTCACAGTAAGCTTGAATATAGTAATAGAAGAGAACCTGTGAGTATATTTGTGTTTGCCTGGTGTGTACCAAGTCGGTGGAGTCTATTGATAGCTATTATCCAGTATATATAATTATAAAGTTGGTAGTACACCTAGTATTTTATGTTGTGTTTATCAATCAATCATAATACCCGATTGCCAGTAGGAGGGTTAGTACCTTTAGTTCATTCACACTTGTTTACTCATGCACATATCAGTAAATTCCTTGCCAAATAGTTAATTACAATAACACCAAATGATCATACTGCCAGCCCATATACCATATGTATCACACTGATATGATTTTAACACACTTATATATTTGACTCTTGCTATTTGTGATATTAATACTGTACCTATACGGATTTTATTATGTATTGTTAATTAATCATTATCATAAAAGTATAAAGAATATTTATATAGATTATTGTAAATGGAATATCTAATCTACAAGCTTAGATGTAGGTACATAATTTTGTATTGTAATAAAATACATTTTAAGAAATAAAAATATTATGTTGTGTTATGAAGTGAAAATGTCGGTAAAAACTCTTCATAGGTACTTGTGTCATAAAATAATATAGTACATTTATCTATGTGCTATATGCGGGTACACAATATGAAATGATTATGAAAATCATCCTGGTTTAGTGATAAACTGTAAATTTCGTGATAGCACGTTGTTTGCTTGGGTATAGAATTAATTATGGCAAGAGTTTGTCTAAATGACGACTCAACTTTATTAGACTGAGATGGACCAGGATGTTAATCGAACAGGTGATTTATTTAAAAATAATATTGTAGTAATTATTACTAATTGTCAAAAGCGCAAGCCAAGTTTATCGTTATCCTGTCAATACATTTTTAGGGCTCGAGTATTTTATAACGATTTTACTATATTCGTAATTATTAGTATTAGTATTTTATCATAAATAAAGTAATAGAATGTAATATTTTGTATGTATGTCTATTGTATGATATCGTGCTCAAATAAAGGCGTTTTGAAAAGTATATTTCGTTTATTCTCCCTTCGGGGATTAAACTGTCAAACACCAAGCGGTCACCGGTGACCGCAACCTATTGTTCTTTAATTGTGTCTATAAATACGGTACTCGACGAGTTAAAAGACTACCATACATTGTCTATGTCAAATCTTAGATTATCATAAAAGATTCTAGATGGAGTGTTACCATACAATAACAACAAAAAAGGTGCTGCAAAAATCTTTACATGTGTGCGGGCGGTTCGTGTTAATACTTTTATACTTTACTTTTATTTATTTTAGTTAATTGGTTGTTCCTCTAATCGCCAACTTACAATATATAACAAACTATATACACAAATAAACTTGAGACCGGTGTCTGTTGTAAGTAAAACACTGTTGTAAGCTACTACAAATAATCTCCTATCTTGACTGGCTGCACTCGTAAATGCTACAGATGGTGTTAATGTGGACAAGGGTAGACGACTAATTTTTATTTTAATGTCCGTCTGGTAGATTATTTAAAAACATTAGACACGTATTTTTTATTTTCTTACGGAAACGAATAGTTTCGAAGATATATTGATTTGAAATGTCGCGTGACGTCACTTCTCAGTACATTTTATACTGAGAAATGACGTTTTAGCCCCCACTGTTTTATTATACGATACAATAAAAAAATACGTGTCCTATATTTTTTAATTACCTAACTTACGGACTAATTAGATTTTTAATTTTCATACCCTGTCATCATCCCCATTGTGGCAGGTTATCGATGGAGGCAGCAGAAGGCTAACCAGCTAGCACCGTCTTTAATAAAATCTTCAGGAACGTTCACGCCAGTGAGATTGCCAAAAAAATTGCGAGGGCTTTCTGTGTCCTAACTTCTCGTCCATTAAAAGCGTTGTTTTAGCGCATTTACTCTTTTGACGCTGTCAACCGCTTTATCAATTCGCCTTTTAGCTTCTCGTACCTGTTCGTTGTTGGGGGACTAATAATGTGGTCTTTAGTTCTCTTGCTTATTATCCAGCTGGCTTATTATGTAGTGGTAGTTGAATTTGTTGCAGTCATTGGTGATTCTTTAAAATAAATTAAAGAAGCAGGGAAATACGTTAAAAGATTTACATACGGGAGTTAAAAACACATAATTATAGAATCAGTAAAGTAGTGCCTTGTTATTTGTTTTATTTATTTATATCAATATTTTATTGTTTCAATATATGGCAGCATCGAATCGTGAGATATTTTAGCTCATAATATATTAACTTGATGAAGGTTTCTATCAAAAAATAGTTAGCGTCATCCAAGGATGTTAAAAAAGACAAAAAAAAAAGAAACATCAGCAGTCGCAGTCTGCCAGTGTAGGGGCATCACATCTGCCTTTATTATGACCAGGTCAAATTTGCCTTTATTATGATCAGGTGCGTTAGTAATTCTCGTAAATGTAAATATGGTATGTATTCTTCATTGCCTTATTAGTCTAGGAACAAACATAGTAGTAAAAAACAACTATTCACGCGCTAATACAAAATTGTGATATTCGGCAGGTTGCTGGTGTAACAGAGTGTAACTACTTAGTAGTAATAAAAAAAAACAACTTAAAAATAAATTGTAACAATTAAGTGATGCGGACAACCGCATTATTTTATATATATGGAGTAATAGGTACTTCGTCGCGCCCCGCCACCCGGCCGTGCGACGAGCCGGCGCGAGCGCAAGCGAGACGACATTCCGCTGCCAAACCTCTTGAGACACGGACGCTGTCGCTCTGATCAAATAGCATACTTACCGTCATTCCGAATTATAAAGCCATAAATAATTATAAAATATTTTGAGACTGGATTGCTTGCTTATCCATACTCCTAAACTAAATTAAGTACCTATAAGTGATTGTGATTCCCAAACCTGGGTAAGTTGTGCACAATTTTATATAAAGAATTTTAACGCCCATTACCTACCTTTTTTATATTCATTGCGTTAATCTTAAGGTACGGGCCTGTCTAACTATCGTAGCTTATTAATTTCTATCCTTGTGTAATGTTTTGCTTTTCCTTCACTATGTTCTTAGTATATGCTTGTAACCGCCTCTGCTAGCTACAGTGTCGATTAAGAATCACGCCTGGAATGGGGATGATGACAGGGTATGAAAATTAAAAATATAATTAGTCCGTAAGTTAGGTAATGAAAAAATATTAGACACGTATTTTTTTATTTTGTCGTATAATAAAACAATACTTAGATAAAACGAATCAAAGTTTAGGAGTGGGGG